AATCTTAGACCCTGCAAAATACTTCGAATCTGCGGTAGCTCGGAAGCAAAACGGTCCTCTAACACAATGGACAACTAATAAACCAAATATAAATTATATTCGTGAAACAAAAATAAAATGTTTGTAAAAAGAGGTTTTTGACGCATCGGAACCACTGTGAGCCAGTCTTCTAAGATAGACAGACCAAAATGATGTATAAACATTATTACAGAGTCTTGAATTGGTCTTCGATGGTCTTTCCTAAGATATTATATTGTCATATTTTATTCGGTTTCATGACACAAAAATGTACGAAAGACCTAATTATTATATTGGATAAAATTTCAGAGAATGTTATAGATTCAGTAATGAGAACAGGTAAAAAGCCGGACAAGCTATGAGAGTTGTTGGGATAAAAGGGGGAAAGATAGAGCAAATATCCGGCTTTTCGTACTAGAATTACTAATTACTAATACTAGATATTAGAATGAAAATGGTTTGATAGATATCTAGGTAAGCGAGGGTAAGCACCGCTAGTAGGTTTCGAGGGTTAGTAGGTTCAGAGCTGTCACGACACCAACAAGCATTCTCAACAGCATAGAGATCTATAAGTCGCATCAAAGTTTCACATAAGACTACGTTTATTCCAATATTCGCATAAGCATGGGAGTTCTGGACATTTAGTACTAAGCTACCTACAGGATACTGAGATGAGATACTTGAGAGGTCGAGAGAAAGACCAGAAGACACAGGGTGATGAAGACATGAATTGTCTAGAGTAACCGAAGAGCACTAGTGGATGGAGGAAGATGTATAGAAAGGGAACTTCAGACCTACAGACAGTAGAACAAGTCTATGATTATGATGATCATCAATTCTCTTACCTGTACCTCAGCCAAATCTCATCTTAGGGTGTCTACTTCTGGAGAAATAATCAATCCGTCTACACTTTCGATTTTATTTTTGAGTTTAATGAAAACTGGCAGAATTTCTTTAACAGTTATCTGACCTTGATGTCTTATAAAAGCAACAAAAAAGCATAGCATGCTTGAGGGTAAAGTTCGACCGTCGTTTGCTATTATTACCAGGAGGACTTACGTGTCCCAGCGGCACCTAACAATGGTTCAGACGGGTGATTCATCAGTAATAAGTTATTATAAATGTCGGCAACTTTTGTGCCAGGAACCAAACGATAACAATGAAAGAAACGGCCCCTCTAACGGCATGTGATAATCAATTTAACAAGACTCTCATTACAACAAATAACAAGCTAATTTCACGTTTATCACCGATTTTCCGCTTGGGTCATCTGCTTATATATATATATATATATACACATATATAATTTTTTTAACGGGGTTGCCACGGTAGAGGTCATATCATATTCCTTGAGTCCATAGGGTGCTTGTATGAACGCCAGCTGATATGGAGAGTTATGATGGAGTACGATAGATTTACGATATTTAGAGGATACAAGGTTTTTTTTATTGAATATAGTAGTTTATATATATATATATATATATATATATGTATATATATATATTTTTTTTTAGGTTTGTGTTTATGTTTTGCTTTTTGAGGTGGAAAGTATTTAATAGTGTGTATTTGTTGTGTAATAGATCCTTCATTAGACTGTTAATAGTGTGTGTAAAGGGTGATGGAGGAATATCGAATACTTAGGTGTATGGCCAAGTCAATAAGAAAGTATGTATTTAGGAATGAATAACGATGTGAGTGTGCTTAAAATCTCATGCGTTGGAGCCGAAATGACCTAGTTGTTGACAGCCCCTGGAGCCTGAGGTCTGACCCCGGACCATAAAACAACGACATCTTGTTTTTAGTCTCATTCCTATGTTATCTCACTCGGTGTTTCCCATTATATTTGCGTCGAAAAGTTGTATTTATTTGAGAAAGTCTATGTTTGTAATAAACATGAAACTTTCGGGATTTCCGACACAGGTATTTTAAAGTTACAGTTTACAAATAAATAAAAAATATATTTCCCGAATCATGACATGAGTGATGATAAAGCAAAATGAAGTCTGGACTTTGCTAGCAAACGCAATTCCAATCAATTTTATTAATGGAACCGAAGTTGGTAAACAACTGAGAACAGAAGACTGGGCCAGTTTGTTTGCCATTCCTATAGTCATTTAACACTGGACGGCCTGCGAATTGCAAAACCGATTTGTCAACTCTAAAAATCACCCTGTTTTTCTGTTAGAATTAAAAAAGAAAGGAAAAATTGTTATTGTACTACTTACGCTAAAATGAAGCAGCTCCAGTAGTTACCACACAAATTATAAACACTGACTAAAAAACTGATGATCATAATTACTCAACCTTTTTCCTTCTTCCATATTGTTGTTATGTTGTTTATTTAATTATTTTCTTTTTCTTTTGTTCGTATTTTCCACACTTTTTTGTTATTCATTAAGACTGTTTAGACTACCTTTGAAGATAAATGCATAAATGCTGTTTATACAATCCATACCATTTTATCCTTACGATTAGGCATATACATACGTATATATATATATAAACAGTGCCATACAAAAAATATATTTTACAAGTATAACGTAGAAACTACTGGTTGAACGTACCATAAGAAAAAATCATACCTTCCATTTTAATAAAAGCAATCTGGCTTCTGTCCTGACTTTTCCACACAATCGGGTATTCTAAGAATCGGAGGAAAGTTAGTGGGAAGAGGCTAAGCAAGGGCTGACGGACTCAGGTCCAATAAATGTAAGGAGGAAGAATCATGCTCAGGGATCAAAGGAAGAACGTGTATACATTGAGAAATTATGCTGTCCATCTAAGTTCATTTTGTAGTGCACAAAAATAAAATAATTGAAAGATTTTTGGATTGAGCTCAAAGCTGCCATCTAATTTAAGTTTAAAAATGTTACCATAACAACTCCTCTTCTATTAGAGAGTTGATTGTTTTCAGTTGGGATATTTTAGACACAGAATATACACTGATGGCCAAAAATGATGGCACCACTCAATTTATTTAATTTAAAATTAAATCCATTTTCTTTCTATTCTTTCTACACTAGTTGTAGGTATACCCAAGAGACGATAGATTTATCCTTAATCAGGCTATACCAACCGCAGCATTACTGGAAATGAGATAAGAAATTTGATAAAACAAGTCCGAAATGTTTCGATTTTTTAAGGAATGTAAGAAGGCTCAATAAAAATAATCTTAGGGCCTGGCACCCGGCTCGTGGACCTCTTATTAGCACAGCTCAGAAAATGTCCAGGCTTCAATTCGCACGGGAACATGTGGCTTGGACGTTGGTAGATTGGGGACGAGTTCTCTCTGCAGATGAGAGAAGAGTTGGCACCAAATCTCCAGATGGCTGTAATTTCATATGGAAAAAGTCAGGAAAAAAATACGCCATGCTGTATGGTTCCTCAGAACGCATTCCATTGTGGATCATTGATGTTCTGAGGTAGCATTTCCTGGGACGCCCGGACAGAATTTCTTGTTGTGCGAGGAAAATCTCTAACTTCACTCACAGATGTACTTACAAGACATATTGGAAGAACATGTAGTGCCATTTGTCCTCCACATCGGTGAGAGATTCTTCCTAATGCAAAATAATGACACGGCCTAAAGAGCACGTATTGTGGATGACTACCTGAATGAGGTTGGAATTGAGTGCTTGGGTGGCCAGCTCGAAGTCCAGATTTGAACACATTTGGGACCAAAGCGACGTGTCCTATCACCCTAGAAAAGTCGGGAAAGAATTCCTCAGAATTTTACAGAAAGTTTTTCCGAGGAATGCAAAGGCGTTTTCTGGACGCGATTCGTGCCAGACGTGGTATTAAAGGAGATAAAAAAGTATTTTTAAAAACATTTTTATTCGTTTTTGTTTTTTATTCAATAATTTTTATTTCATAATTAGGTAATAAACTTTTCAAAAGACTTATTTTTGCAACCCAACCTATTGTTGGATATGCAAAATATGAATAAACCTAAATACATTAAAATTTAAGGGTGGTGCATTAATTTATCCATGAGAGTATATAAACCTCGAAAGTCAACGAGTACACAAGAATGTTTGATTCCCAACTTTTAGAAAATAATTTTACCATCTTCTAAACGTTTGAATCTCATGCTACTAGTTTCATTGTGTGCAAAAAGGATAGTAAATTAATAAATGAAAGAATTGCATTCGTTCTGAAAAATTGTCAATTCTCGTAAATCTGAAATCAAAAACAAAACGTGATGTCGACAATAAAAATTTTGTCAACAGTGTCTGCGTGGCCGGTGTTGTCCCTAATACGACCAAATATTCTACAGTGGAATCCTTCTATTATTAAAAATTTGCATTAGAACCCCGAAGATTGAAAGAGGAATGGATTATCCTTTTGAACGCCGAAGGCTCCCTCATTTAAATGTTTACATATTCATTCTTCGATTTTAAAATTCCAGTTTCATAAATCGAAAGGGCGGGAGATTGAGAATTGGATTCTTCACGCTTTCTACGTTATGAACGTTCATAACTGCTGATCATGATTGACCATTGTACGGTCTGTTAACCTAAATATAAAAAAATAAAGCGAACATTCAACATTTAATCTAGCAAGTCTTATATATATATATATATAATTTTGATAAAATATTCGGTATTAATTCTCAATCGGCTTTGACTTTATTGCAGTATCATATCGTTTGAACATGCTAAAAATAAAACGTGTATAAATACAAAGTTTTCTATGCTTAGAGACTTGGAAGTTTTAAGATGGAGATTCCTGTTTTCAAACTTTCACCTTATCGGGCCCCATACTGGCTTCTTTTTCTGGCCAAATCCTTCAATATGCCATATAGAAAAGTGTTCTGTGGGCAAAAAAACATCTGTAAGGCTTGGAATAAAAACTCTTGGATTTAAATTTCTTTTTAATATAAACAACAAAGTTTAAACCATATTTTTTATGTACACTTTATACAATGATATAATTACTGAATACACTATTTGAACAGTTAAAACAATTTGTATAATTCCGTTTATATATGTATTTATTTATAATTTTACTGATGATATATACAAATAAAGGTATCTACAATCTAATAATCATATTTACACTATCAAAATAAAATAAATTATTGAGCGAATCCTTTTTTTATATACCATAACGTTAATACGAAAGAGGTTTACCATGGTATTGAAGAAGAACATACTATTAAGTAACAATTTATGGAAAGATGGCCGATAATGAACTATTGGCTTTCCAGTCGTACAATTTTGCTGGGAGTTGACTTGAAACTTTTCCAATGTCTTGACGGACGATTCATCGACGAATTTCCACTGGACAGCCGCTGTGTCACTGATTCGGAATAAGTGATTTCCCATTCGTTCTGCTCACACCATCGGTTACCTCCTGAACAGCAGCCCTAGAAGGACGGCCAATATCCGCCAGTCCAGGAACGTCCTCGACCCATGGGATTCGTCCAGCTCTGAAATGGGGAAGTACGATTAAACAGTATTTTGCTTGGGGCCCGCGAGGGCCGGCTATAACTTAATTTATTAGGGAAGGAAATACGCCTTGTGGGAGGGCTTTGTCTGCAGCCACCGGAGGCAAAGCCCGCCTGGAAAGTAACAGCAGCCCAGAGGTGTCCAGGTATTAGCTCTAACGAGAAACTAATAAACATAGGGGCTTAGCACATAAGCCTTAATGTACGGGAACTAATATCATACTAATAAATTTAATAAGAAACCCTTTTATAAACTAATACAATGTTTGTTTAAATGACGAACAAAATGTTTAATTACATGATTACCCGAAAAAAATTGTGCGTGTGGGAAAGCGTGTTTGTTTACGTACTAATATTATGTATATCGATATTTTACCCATTTATCTTATGAAAATCAATTTATTTGAATTAATTTTTAATCCATTTGATAAGTATAAAAAATATCAAGATATATCTTTATATTTCGAAAAGGGTAATTAAATGAGCAGTTTCTTTACTAATTATATTATTGAGTCTTTATTGATAGAAATATTCGGCTGGTGCAAAATAATGCAGGTTTGGAAAAGGCAGTCAAAACTATTATACTGTTATAAAATAAAGAAAATTTATTCGAAATATTTTTCATTACAATCTATATATTTTTGCCAACGTGTAATAAGCGATTTTATACCGCTGACTTAAAAATCTTTATTTCGACATAAAGTCTTGCAAGGCGTTTCCGGCATCACCGCGATCTCAAAAAAGTTTTTCCTTCAAGAAGTGATCAAAATTCAAAATGCCAAAAAAACTGGAAGGCTGTAGGTCGGGTGAATATGAAGAGTGCGGTAAGGTTTCATATCCTTAGACTTTACGTTTCTGCAGGGTTGGCATTGAGACATGTGGCTTGGCGTTATTATCGTGAAGAAGAAACGGCCCTTACTGTTTACCAATGCTGGACAAAGTCGTTGCAGTTTACCATGGATTTTGTCAATTTCTTGCAATTTTTTTCTGCTGTGATAGTTTCACCATAATTCAGGAAATCATAGTAAACAACCAAAAACAGTCACCATAATCTTTTTTGCGTGCAGATTTGGTTTCAGGAAGTATTTTGGAGCTTCATCCTTATCTAACCACTAATCTGTAAGGCTCCTGTTATCGTACAGAATCCTTTTCTCATTGCACGTGATCATTCGGTCGATAAACGGATCAATTTGGTGGCGCAACAGAAGAGATGAGCAAATTTCAGAACGTAGATTTCTTTGGGCTTCGGTTAGTTCGTGCGGTACCCACTTGTCGAGCTTCTTTACCTTTACGCCCCAGATGGCGAACAACGGTTGAGTGGTCAACACTAAGTTCTTCCACAATTTTCCGTGTTGTCTTACTAAAATTTTCTTCAATTAATGTTTTGAGTCGGTCGCCGTCCACAACGGAAAGCCTCCCATCGCTGCACCGTGCATTCGCTAACGATTCCCTCCCTCCAATCTGTATTGTTGTTTCGCGCAGGTTAGGCCACACTTCGCTCAAGTTTAAATTCGTACAAATAAATTTGACGAAAATCTAGTTTGAATATATTTAATTTCGCAGGTACTCAATCGTATAAAATTCAATATAAGCTCAAATGCTTTGTATAAAAGATAACAGTTAAAAGTATTTATTATAAACCATAAATTAGATTTTAGGATTTAGATTTTTTAACATGACAAGCATAGCAAAAATAAAACAAATTTTCTAAGCTCCTTTAATTTTGCACCAACCCAATACTAAATATTCATTTTTTAGGGAATGAGCGATGGGGGTGGTTAAAATAATTGAGACGAATTAATTCATGTCCGACGTTTCAGGAATATATTTTCCTTTTTTCAAGAGGGTGTCCTTCATGTGATATTTAAATTTTTTACCATGGTTATTTTTCTTTATATACGTATTATAAAATAAATATTAAACACTTGTGTGGTGATTAGTGACCGTTAATCGATATATATTCAGAAATTTTGAGATGCGGTCTGGTGTGATGTATGTTTCAGAAAAACATTTTCTTTATCGTGCCAACGTTTCGATCTTTATTGAAATCATCTTCAGGGCTCAAAGTGTTTGTCTTCTGTGTAATTATGCCATTCTTGCGTGTCGTGTTGGGAGTGCCCATCTCAACACGACACGCAAGAATGGCACAATTAACAGAAGACCAACACTTTGAGCCCTGAAGATGATCTCAATAAAGATCGAAACGTTGGCACGATAAAGAAAATGTTTTTCTGAAACCTACATCACACCTGGCTGCATCTCACGATTTCTAAATAAATAAAGTTTTGTTATTTGTTACAGGGGCAGTTAAGCTAAAGCAGATTAGTGTAGATTAAGTTAAGGGCACCCGGAAAAGTGTTGCAAGCACTTGCTTAAATCGAACAAATTTTCNCAATAAAGATCGAAACGTTGGCACGATAAAGAAAATGTTTTTCTGAAACCTACATCACACCAGACCGCATCTCACGATTTCTGAATAATTAAACACTTGTATATAATACAGGTTTATACAACTATTTGTTATAACATGTTTATATGCTAGTGACGAAATATTGTTCAAGTAACATTCCTATTCATCTAATTATCAGCTATGTGTAGGCACCAAACTACAACCTATGTAAGTTTGTGTTCACTATTTTAAACCCTTAAAGAAGGAGAGACTAAGATCGTCGGATAACCGATTTCACTGAACCTTTCTTTCCTGAGGGTACGGTGTGCTGGACACATGTTTTTTTGCTGTTTAACAAAAATTGCAGTGAAACAGGGAACAAATCATATTCATTTATGTATACACGTCACATACATATTATAAAAAATTAAATTGGCGTGAAGTCTGGAAATGGTAACGTCCCAATGACGACCCTACCTAGTTGTGTTTAAGTAGACCCCTTGGCTACTGTCGTTTTAGATGCCGCGGTTAGTTGACCCAGCGGGATTTTGTAGGAGCATGTTTGTTGGACACATGGTTTAGTGTCCATGTGTCATACGGAGTTATGAAATTTTGTATAACAAGAATGATAAAAGGAATTTGGAGGTCGATGTGTAGAGTAAGGTTCGACACGTAGTAAGGAGCATTGGTTATAATTCTTACGGTGAATTTTTGACAGGTGTGACTGAATTATTTTGGAATTGGAGCGTTTCGTTGAGGTGAACAGTTTTATTTCGTAGGTGTATAGATCGTTGGGATACTGTATTGTAGATTAACAGTGTGTTAGTGAAAGTCTTGATTGTATGTATAGTATACGTATAAAAAGTTTGAATCGTTTGTTAAGTTCCTGTCTTTTCAGTTTTGTTTGTGGTTTCTTGCCAGTCTTTTATCGACAAACATGCCTTTGTTGGACACTTGGTTTAGTGTGTTTGTATAAATAAACAACATATTTTACTATGTCAGCAGAATGTTCTTAAATGTTGGAAATGTCGAATGGGAGGGAGTATAGGTAGTGTGTATACATTTATTTTGATCAATTTTTGTTCTCCATCTTTTGAACCCATTGATGGATATCGTTTAGATGGGCATGGATTTTGGAGGCAGCTATGTTTGGGTGTTAATGCGAGAAAAGAAAAACTGTGTCGTTTTCATACTGTGTACATTTTGTTCGAATGTCGAAAGGAATGTATCAGGATTTAGAGGGATATTGGCAGAGGATATATCCTTACGGTACTCCAGCCCCGGGAAGGAAGAAAGAGGAAACATCTGAACCTTGTCTGACTTGGTAATGCCTATCGGATTGTTAGGATCTTAGAATAAGTCAATAAGTTGAGGAGAGAAAAGTCTTTAATTTGGAGAGAAGCCCCCGATGCCAGACCCCTCACTCAATGCTGCAAGAGATGACGTGTACAACTCGATGACCCTGTGGAATGGTCCTGTGGTGAGAACGGAAGCCAAATTGGAGCTTTGCCATGATTTTTTGGGAGCTTAAGGGTAGATAGATACATTTGATGAGAATTTTATCTAAGCGTTTGACAGAAATGTGAGTAAGGAAATAGGTCCGGATGAATTGGTTAGTGGGAAGGTGTATTGTGTTTTTGGATCATAGTAATTATTGAATACCTCCCGTATTTATTGGGGTTATTTATTGAACCCTATTTATGTAATTTCCTGCAGTTTTTAGTATTCTGAACCCTTGTAAATCTTCTTGTAGATAGGTGAAGTTGTTTCAACGTTATTAATATTCAATTAATTAAGGTTTTTAAGTTGAGATAAAAATTCAGTGTCACGAGCGGGATTCGAACCCACGACTTAATTAATTGAATGTTATTCAATTCCGGTCAAGCGGACCACGAAAAATAGTGAATTGAATGGAGTTATCAATATTTTTGTCATTTTTGAACAAAATGGTAGGTGAAAAATTTGAGAGAAAAAAATTTGTGCAAATTTCACATAAAAATGCCTCATTTGATAAGTTTTGGAATTGTCTGTTTCATAGAACATGAATTAAGTGTATTTTTCGTTTTTTCGTCGTGAAATGATCAAAATAAGTTTGTTTTCGGCATGTATCGCTGATCCATTTTACCACTATTTAAATCTGTTTTTTTTTTTTTTTTTTTTTTTTTTTTAAATCTCCGCGTGTAAATTTGTTCCTAGATTACTGTTATTGCAACTATGTTAAACCGTTTTTTAAAGGTTTGTTGAAGAATCAAAAGAGGAGGACAGGATCGATCGCTTTTCGAACCTGCGGCACGTCCTAGCGCCAACTCACTTCTGTTAATTACCCACCTAAAGGAATCCCGAGTTTTCCCTTTGGAACGTGCAATAAAATATAACGAAAAAGAAAAGGAAGAAAGTTTCCTCCAAACGTTTGTCCTTTTTACGATGCTCTTTGTCCCATGTCCATTGTGATCCTAAGACAGTTGCCCCAAATAACCAAATTTAATTTTTCTTCTCTTTTTTATTACGTCAAAGGGAGTAATAAACTTAATATAGTCAGAAACACAATTAAACAGCTGTTACCTTAACGACAAATATACAATAACTGATAATGGTAAATGTCATCTATATATAAACAACACATCTGTTAAGTTTAGTTAGCTTAGTTAATCTCGGTAAAATTGATAAAAAATTTAAATAAGCTGCTTAAAAAATTTAAATAAGTACATATTTTATAAATCCTATTATTTGTAATAATAGATTAAATTTGATTTTATCAATCGCAATCGGATCACTTTAATTAAAAGCTTATTGGCAAATAACGGGCAAAAAACCTTTAGTGTTTTAATATGTTATAACGTGTTTTTGTTATTAGGCAAACCTCATAAAATGCTTTAGTATTGTCGGTCAGTTCAAATTAAAATAATAACATAAATCTGAAGATGTCCGTAGAATTACAACATCACAAAATAATTTTCCTTTAAACACTAAATCCCATTTTTTTCTTTTTTAGCTCTTCATTGTAAATAAATTACTATAAAACGATGATAGTTTTACGAAAAATGGTGAAAGGATCAAACTACGGATCCATTTTTCTTGTTTTACCGCTTCTACCACGCCTTGAATTTCGATTTTATTGTATTGAGTGCTTTATATATCATTATGCTGTATGATGCACTAATAATAAATGATCCACATTAGGTGGTAGCAAAAAGAGAAAAGTGTGTTTGGTTATATCTACAAGGATCCAAATTAGGTGGTAGCCAAAAAGAGGAAAATGGGTTTGGTTAGATCTAAACTTGAAACCAGTGAACTAAATATAAACTAAATATAGCTTTCAAGATTCTTCGGCTTCGAACTTTACTCATTTTATTTGCGGTTATGTACCCAGTCTTTTGTGTACTCATCAATTTTGAGATCATTAATAAGTTCTTCCGCAAGCTGTCAAAATTACTCTCATCAAAAGCACAACACCGTTGCCTACCTAGGATTACTAAATAAACTTCTATTTTTTAACTACTGATCCTTTCCTATTAGATCTTTGTTGAGACAAGATACGAATACTCGGAAGGTATTTTTTTTTAACCGGACCTCTTCAGACCCCCTCGAACAAAATCTCAAAAAAATGTTCTTGTCGTGGTCTGCAGGGTGATAGTCGTTTCAATTAGTTTTGTTTTGCCATACGAGTCCGCTTATACGCCATCTTCATTGGTGGGCAGGTTTGATTTTTTTTTAGGGTCGCTTTTATAAGTTCGAATGATGACAAGCCGAATCGCGATGGCAGGCAGAATTGTCTTAGAGAAATGTGTTGAAACAATTATTATCATAAAATGCCGACGAGAAGGTTTTGAATTATATAGTTTGAGTTTCTCTAGAAGATTTTCAATTAGAACAAAATCGGTTGATTTATGTGTCGATGTCTGAGAAAAGAGTTTTCATTATAAAGACATGTAAATATGTGAGCTTTATTTATTTATGTTTAAATAATTGTTTTCATGTGTTACATAATGTTTTAACTAAAAGTTTGAGCTAAAACCATTATTGTAGATAATAATAATGAGATTTGGCCTTAATATTTTCACTGTCATTCTCAACATAAAAATATTTGATAAACTTTAATCGTTTTTAAATGGCAAAAAAAAATCAAATCAGAAATTGACAGGTACGCATACTCCACAAGTGTTGTTGGCAGGGGGCTTAGAACGAAGGGTGATAAAAAATAGTTACCGAGATAGTTCGAACATAATTCGCTTTCGCTAAAAAGACCGGAAGAAATGGAACTATTTTATTTATGAAGGAGTGGATCACTTAAGTACTCCGAGGTAGGAGACAGTGTGGCCGACGTTCCCAAGTACCGATAAACGGGAAGCTGTTCCAGCCCCTAGTTTATGGACTAAAGGCGAGAGATTTCTACCCCTGTATATACGTCCCACCAGGGGTGATCTATATTACCAAGAAGTTGCCAACCTGGGGTCTCGAACGTGCCCGACTCTACTTTGGCAAAATGTTTCCATCAGCCACAATGGAAAAATTAGCAGTTGCATTTTTATTTACCCAGGGGAATGGATCGATGCTATGACATTTGCTGGAATTATCTGTTCAAAATGTAAAATAGGGAAGCATAGTTCAATTTATTCCCAAAGGAGAAAGAACACTAAATTTATTTTCAAGATTTATGGGCAGAACAAGTCGAATAAAAACTACTTACAATGATTATCATAACCAACTCTAACAAGTTAAACTATGATTTACAACAGCTTGGTTGATTTATATATCGTAATTTTTTCTCTCTCTCTCTCTCTCTCTCTCTCTCTCTCTCTCTCTCTCTCTCTCTTTCTTTCTTTCTCTAGACAGACGCACACCCACGCGCGTGCTTGGTTTTTTGACTCTAAATATAATAATAATAACTAACACGCTCTTACACTAAACATTCACTCTAATAAATGCATTCACTATTAAATGACTAGAAATATTCGAAAAACGAATACCTATCAAATAAAAAAAAAACAGTCTTGTATTCTCAAAGGATCGGAACAGATGTCTAAAAAACACTACTGAGCTCAAGCTTAATTCTTATCGGGTGCCATTACTATACGCTCTCTATACGGAGCCACAGATTGACACCTTTTAATAAATTGGGACACATCAAGCGACCTTTCTCTACATTTCGATAAATAGCGAGCTTTGGCCTCGAAGCACATGTTAGTGTGTCCATCTCGCTTGACCAATTATTCGTCAGGTGAAGATACCTCTTCGGATTCTCGTAAGGGCACTTATCAACCGAGCTCTTGAAACATGAGAGCTTCTTTGCCGATTCAGTCCGGTGAGGCGAGAGGCCTGAACGGAGTGGTCAGGTCCTGAGTTTTCTTGTTCAAAAACTGTTAAAACTCATAATATGTATAACAAAAAAGACCATGGTAAAATGTGAATTGACGGTTTTTTTATTCAAACCAATTTTGCGCACCAAAACGTAGGCAATAAATTTTAATATTTATTTTATACAACAAAATCCATTATAAAGTATATGTCTGAGGTTTATGCTGACAAGGCAAATCCGGTCGGAAAAAATTCTTCGAAAAATCGATCGATTAAAAAATACTCAATAAGGTTTTAATTAGGTATGATAACGCATTGGAAGAACAAGGAAATTAGGCTTGACTCTGTCTCCACTCAGTATTTGAAATCGGCCAACTTTATATAAATTATCTAGATGTTAAACTTGAGCTTGGTACAGCTTCGCCTCTTTGGCCAAATGGCACATTCAAAACCAGGTTAAATAGAACAACATACCCAAATTTAACCCTTCACCGCATGTGTACAGTTTTTCTGCTATCTAATGTACTTTGACTAAGTACACTTAATTACTCTCTTATCATATAATCCTCTTCACAACTGTTATCTCACATCCTTTAGGTAAACAAACTTTATTAAATTAAGCTCGAGCTGAAAGTTCATGACCTCCTATGTGATGAGACGTTTAATTACTCGTCCCTATTATTTATCACTGGTATGAACTTCGATGGAGGTATATAAAAACGCATTTTGCTTTTTAAAATAGCTTAGTTCATTAATGTTTTACGTAAATAAATAATATTTGAAAATATAACTATCATTGTATCGGGTTGTCCGGAAAATAATGCAGGATTTTAAGTTTTCATTAAAAAAAATCTATATAAAATATTCTGTTTACGTTTACAGGACTACTCATTTGTATGAATGTCAANTTTGATTAAAGAACATTGCTTTAAAGTAACTAGTTTCTTTTTTTTTGTTTAATACCAAAATCCTGCATTATTTTCCGGACAACCCAATAGATAGCAGTTAATATTTTTGAAAAATGCTATATTGTTGTTTATCTTTGTCAATTTGTGCTTTCGTTGTTGTTTAAAAAAATCATTTGGCATCTCCGATCGTACGTACTTTTTTATTAAACTATTCATTCACTGACCAGTACTTTACTAGCTAAATCTTTCACGGCTATAAGTAAAAACGATCATCCCCAACTTTCACAGAAACAAAGGTCCTGGCCGTAATCAAATACCTCAAAAATTTTACTCCCGCTTCCGTGCAAGGCGATAGTACTAATTACCATCTCTTCCTTTCGCATGGTGCTCAAATTTTAAGAAACCAATTGACAATGTTTCCTCGTACCACCCCATAAGTCTTTACCTACCTTCAGAAAAATACTTAAGAAGCTACTCGTCTCCTGCAAGAAATCCTATCCTCAACCCACAAAATTTCCCGACCACTAATTTGACCTCAGTAATTACCATTCCACATTAGAGATCACTAATTTGAGCTTAGTAATTAACACTCTACAACAACATCCCTAGATAAGCAGTTCTGTCTGAGTCTTTCTGGACGTCTTCCAGTGGTTCGGTAGCGTCTGGCATCATGGTCTTCTTCTGAAATTCACATCCTTCCTTTCTAGTACATAACTATCTTATCTCAAAATCCTTTCTAATAATGATGATCTTTTTTCCTCTTCTATTCTGTCTGGTGTTCCTCAAGGGAGCATCTAGGTCCGTTACTTTTCAGCATATACACAAGAGACTTACTTCAAAAACGTAATGAAAACATATTACCATTTAATACTATTAATTGCACAATATTAGCAGAAAAGCACCAATAACACAATTTTTTTGTAAAACTGTATAAACATGTGTTACAATCGGACTTCTCATTATTGTCTTATATTCTTTATTTGGTGGTAACAATTTTCAACTCTTAGATCTGTCCAGCTCAAATAAGTACTGAAGACGGACCTGGAACTTGGGACCGAAATGTATTGCGAATAAAATGCAAGGTATAAAAAATTTGTGTTTAAGTCAAGAAAAATCAACAATCCAGATACTCAGACGTAAAATGAGACTTTTTTGATTGAGTACAGATGTTAAGGCTATATAAATTTGTAAATATTTAAGTGAAGTTACCAAAATTTGGATGAGATGGCCCCAGGACATGGGCAAGCTGCGGAGTGTCTTCGTGTAGCCAGGCGTCGGCGCCTTTTCTGTACAAATTGTACTGTGTTGCTATGCAGCGAAGTCTAAATTTCCCATCCGTAAACATTGACGGGACGGCGATCGTTTCCAGCTCCAGCAGGGAGGTTTCTAGGCCACCCCTTTCACTTTTGACATATCGGTGCAGCCTTGTCAAATCACTGGGGTGAAGCTGCAAAAAACGAAACTTTTGATTATAATGGTCTGACGTGTATTTCGAGAAGGAAGACATCGTAATTTATCTTTCGAGCAATGAGAAATGACAAGAATGATGCTTGGATTTTTTTGTACAAAGCTATATAAATTTTACACAAAAAGAAAAGAAAATCAACCATCAGGTTTATTTTTTATAACTTATGGTAAGTTTATGAGGAATTATCTGCTTTTCGTCTCTTGCACCGTGAAATCACATATAGGATAAAAATAACGACAGTTTCAGTCAAATTTTATGGGGAAAGTCGGCTCTGATAACCGGATCGGAACGCAGTGCTAACGGTCATAAAATGTTCCAGGCTAGTTTATAAGAGTCTATGATTACCTTGCATATGTTTTCTTGACTATAGAACGCCTTTTTTCCCATTTTTTTTCATGAACTCATTACAAATTTGCAACGAATTTTTCGTATAAATTTTAAATATGGCACGTCATCAAGTGGATCAATCAAGATCCTTTACAATGTGTGAATGCTGTGCTGTTTGATTTATACTTGTATTATTACACTTTTTTAAGGTCTAATACAATCTAGTAAAATCTAGTTGTTGTAAATTACGTTTTACAATACGTAAGTCATGTTTATTTGCAGAGTTCCTACCCAGTTTCATTAATTATGCTTGATAATTCTGATTTTTTTTTTTACGAGGGTTCGCAACAGCAGAGGTCATTTATACCCTCAGGGTGCCGGTGTTTTTGAAAAAAAGCCCATTTGTAAGTATGTCGGGTTCGAATGCAGGGCCGCTGGATTCGAACCCGGGACCTTTACCTTACAGTGATGAGCGCCGTGTCAAAGACTAAACCTTGCGGCACCGACGCCCCTCGTTCAGAATTTGTTTATTTATATAGCTGGTTGCGGTAGTGGAGATTAATAAGCGGTTGTAGTTCTGAGGTTGTTTTATAACTACCCTGGAAGATAAATGAATACGACAATGACCAATCTTTAATTGAAAATACAGAAACTTTTGTCCCAAACTTGTTAAGCCATGAAACTTTAAGAAACCCTTTCTTGGGTGATTTACTAGTTGATATGCACATATTTGACACTTGAAAAACTGAGAAATGATGATTTAATATCCTAACGATTGCAAATTATGTAACTGTAATAATGAATTTTTTGATAATTTGTAATATTTTACTTTGATGAACTATTTGAAGATTTTGTAAAATTGTCAATAGTTTGCTGAGTTGCAGCATGCCTTAAGAACAAATTCAACTTTGAATATGTTCAAATCTTGTGAAGGTAAATTCGTGAACAAACTGGACATCTGTTGTCAGTCGAAAAAAATTGTTTATGTTTTGATTTTATAGCTTAACATTTAGAGAGCATGGTGCTAATGACAAAGAATGCTGATGAAGCTAAATGCACACTCAAAATGAACCTGGTGGGACAAATAATTTATCCATCAATTTACATTTCCTTTATATCAGAAGGAAAACTAGGTGTGCGGATATACATGCATGAGAGTCGAAATAGAGAGAACTAGAGAGAGAGAGAGAGAGAGAGAGAGAGAGAGAGAGAGAGAGAGTATGAGAGAGAATTGAATTGCATTGTTATGAGACGCTTTATTTATTATATTCGCAGATTTAGGTCAGATTGAGCTTTATTACAATCAACGTTTTCGATTTAAAAAAATGAATAAAAGAAAACAGATAAATGGTTATGTAATATACATAATTTTAGTTTTAATCAGTTTTACTAGAATTTACGATGTAGTACTACTAGAATAGATAATAATACTAGAATAGCTCTGACCTCAGCTAATTGTATGGTCACTTTACAATAACTACAATTAAAAAAAAAAAAAAAATCAGCTATGGTGAAAGTTTTACGTAAAATATTTTGACAGCTGATCCCGCTAGTGTCGGTTTCAATAACTACAATTAAAAAAAAAAAAAAAATATATATATATATATATATATAAAGTAAAACTTATGTCGGTTTACTGCTAATACGAGTTAAGACCGGTTCTATATTGATAGACACTTTCTCTTTTTAAACTTAAAAGCTTTTCTATCCAAATTCCAATAAGCGAGTAGGATGAAAGTTAGTGAATATAGTATCCTAATCATTGAGATGGGTTTTTTCCCTTTTTAAGAGTTATTGGTGTTTTTATTTTTTGCAATTTTCCGAATGAGAGAAACACGTTGTAGATTAGGAAAGATGAAGTAGTTTGGTGAGGAGTTGGGTGTTTGGGATGTACATCCCTCATCCATACTGATAGCCGATTGTCACCTTCGATCAAAAAATTCATTTCCAAGATAATAAGCCATCTCAACCAAAACATGGAAAGAATAATTAATTGAAAGATATAACTTAGTCAATTGACCACTAAAAACGTAAATGAAATAATCAGTAAACTTGTTGCTAATTTTCATAATTACAATACTTTCGAGAGGTCGGATTTGCAAAAGAGGCTAGGAGACTTTCCGGGACGAAGTAATCCTGAGTAAAATAGAGTCTCCAGATATTATGCCAATATAAAATGTAAAGGAAAAGGAAGTGGTGCAAATGACTGTCCAAACTCACGAACACGATAACAACCCACATGAGTTATTATCCTAAAAATGAGTTCGTTGGGGGCAGAACTGAGTTCGTTGGACACAAAGCAGGACTTGGCCGTTTTGAAGGAGGAGAACAGGGTCTTTCAAGAGGAAAATTGCGCCCTAAAAAGGAAATATTAATGATAAAAGAAACGATAACGAGACAAGAAGCAATGTTGGGGAATCTGGACTACAAATACCGTTCCAAAAATTTAATATTCAAGGAGTTCTTCAACTTCAAATTACCCGGTGCATCCTCTCTCTAACCTAAATGTGAAAGAGGACTGTTCCGTTATTTAGCAATAGGACCTCTTCTTGCCGAGTTCCGCTTGCGTTACCTGGGTACTCCTAAGCTTAGTGAATCCCAGCTCATTTCTCTTTTTGACTCCTATCGCCGACCACTCATTAAATTTGCACGCATTACGTGCCATTTAGATACTTTCAGTACAACAATTCAATTTTTAAACATTCTCACTTTTGCGTAAAAATGGCTTGTATTTTATTTGTTCCCTTTTGTCTTGCTTTTTTATATGTTTATTTACACAATATTTGTATTTTTACCTAGTTAAGTGTTACACTCCACATTTTGTAACTTTCCCTATTTCTCTCGCTCTCTCTTGCTTTCCAGAGCGAACAACTTCTGTTTGAAAAATCTGAATAAGTTTTCTAATCTTTCAAATCTCTAACATCCCTAAATTTGTGAACCACAGCAGGCAGAAGATCTAGCCACAGGGTTAAAAAGCTCATAATTTTTGGGAAGTCGGATGATGTTTTGCGCAAGGAAACCTGATCTAACAGTAATGAATGCCATCTTCGGAGAAGAAACTTTCTCTTTAATGTGACACACAAAATAGAGGCGAGGGGTAAGGACCACACCAAATACCTGTATCAATTGATAATCTCAATTTGAAATACTCCGTAGCACCATCTCTCCCTTTTTCTTCCCTTTTGTCTTGCTTTTTTACATGTTTATTTATACAAGATTTGTATTTTTACCTAGATCAATGTTACATTATGATTTTTTGTATATTTCTTTCTCTCTCTCTCTCTCTCTCTCTCTCTCTCTCTCTCTCTCTCTCTCTCTCTCTCTTTCTCTCGCTTTCTACACTTTTGTACATGAAACATCCTCAAATGAAGTCGATGAAGGGGATGAGTGTGAGGGGAGAAGAATATATTGTATTGTCAGGTCAACCTCTGGCGGACGGAATAATTCCAAGCTGTAACTACTTGTTCTTTTTTTTGTATTGTACTTATATTTAGGAAAGAAAAAATCATTATTATTATTATTATTATTATTATTATTAATGAATATTCGGAGATCGTTAGATGCGGTCTGGTGTGATGTATGTTTTAGAAAAACATTTTCTTTATCGTGTCAACGTTTCGAACTTTATTGAAATCATCTTCAGGGCCTGGGATTTATAAACATTGTTTAAATTTTACAAACACATGCAGGAAAAAAGTGAATTTATACAATGCTAGAAAATTTAGCATTAGCAAGTTAATCACTTTACTTAAATATTTCAGAAAGAAGTAAAACCAAAATAAAACCACGTGTTTACCCGTCAGACTATGAACAACAACTCGTATATATACATATACAATGTATTAATAAAATATTGATTAGTTTATTCACCGCAAACAAATTAAAAGAAAAACCCATCCCGTGGTACACCACTCTCCTTTACGATCTGATATGGATTATTCCGTCAATAATTAAATTTGTAATAGTAAATAATAATTTTAGCCAAAACCAGGGCAATTAAACTGTATAAATCTCTGTCTTTCTCACGCATTAATCGTGGAATAACTGGAGTATTCATTACTGATGGCAGGACGGGAAATTATTTCAAGCATAACACTATATATCATTGAGAGGACCAGCGATACAGCCAGTGTCGGAATTTATAATAACAGTTTTGAAGTGAAATTAACTCTGCTATTCCCTCTTATCTCGGCGGTACTCATTAGTCGTTTGTTTGTTGAATTATGCACAACTCCCTCCTTGGATTTTAAGTGAGACAATGTCAAATTTACCTGCATAGTATTGACGTAGAACGTCAAATTGGCGGCTGGAAAGGAGGATCTTGAAGTGCAGTTGGCCCGAATCTTCTCGCCAATGTTATATTTCGTCTTCTCGACCCTGACCTCCGGTATTGTCACGGGTTTTTCTGAAAACAAAGAAAGAAAGACGGATTTAATTGAACGTAAAACGAGACAAGTGTTTAAATTGGACTTGAAAGTCTCCAAGGCCTACCCGGGTAAACTTAACGGTAGAAGCATGGTTTCACTCCCATTAAACGTCCGGATAAGAATAGTGGAAAAGAAAGGGATGATTTACTGCTGCTATAAGTGGTATTTACACTGTGCTGAGATTTGTCGACGCGTATTTGTCCATCAATTATTATAAATTCTTGCAGAACTGAACAAATAGTTAATACCTTTATTCATATATGTTTATTTATATATTCATGTATGTTAACCTTGACAACGATCCAATTATAGTAAAATATAAAAACCGAACATTTAACAGTATTTTTTAGTTTGGGGTGGTTGAGGATTGATTGTATACAATATTTAAAGATACCTCAAAATCGATACAAATAACGACTGTATTTTCTGAGAAATTATCTATAACTTTCTCGACTTCGAAACGAACATGCTGACCTCTAATGTAAGTAAAATTATTAATAACAACTAGAAAATTTTTATATTTACAGTAAACTTCTAAAATTCTAGGATTTATTAAGCACTACTTCCATAGTATGATGGTATGCCATCATCATGCGACCCCAGTCTTAGATATTGATAGAACGATGTTTTTTGTAAATCTACTCGTTTTCTAGGGGACTTGACCTACAGCCGAAAAAAGAGAGCATACCCAAGAATTTTTTAGTCAAAGGGCATTTTTCCTTTACGGAATTCGGCTCTAATCTGACTGAAAGAGGCCAGCTAAGAATTTTCACTTTATTTATTTTCTTTATTCATCTATAAATTGTTTGGAATTAATTACAATAAATTCTAGGTCCAGATGTTGGTATTTAATAATATACTTTCCTTGGTTTCGTTTATTACATTTTTACAGTCATATACATACACCCTTAATACATATTACATTAGTACATATTTACATTTGGTAGTGGTCAAACAGAGAGGTTATCGCAGGGAGGCCAACGCTTCATTCGTCTGCGATGATCATCAGGTAATGTAATGTATTGCAGGTCTTTCACAAAAGTAATTGGATGTTGGCATATGTTAGAATGGAAAATTTTGTAGCCGGATTGTATCGAAATGAGTGACAGTCAGGGAAGTTGAAGGTTTTTTTTTTAAATCGGTGAGTGGGTTAGGTTGAGATTAAGGTTAAGGATAAAAGTGCAAACGAGGCGACCATTATTGGACTAACATTCTACTCCTAGACTTTCGTAGGTTCTGCAGTTAATTTGTACGATGGTCCTTTAATTAAAGGAAATGTAATGAGGGTGTTACGTACTTCTGCACTGATGAGAGTAGAAAAAGTATAGCCATTCTGAGAGGTTGTAGAAGGATTTTTGAGAAGATGAGGTTTTATCCAGGAGTTTAGTGAATGATCTGCTTGACTTATTTTGGAGAACATACTTCCAAGGAGAGGTCAGATATTATTAAGTTTTCAGCCTAAAAATAATAAAGTCAAATTGCTGTAGTTGAATTCGCTAATTGTAAAAAAGATGAGAAATTATATAAAATTGTTGTTATCATAGTTCCAGAAAAATGGGGTCTATTTTATTCAAAGAGGTATTCAACATTTAATATAGTTTCTTCCTTTGAACAAAGAACGTTGTTTCACATCATAATCCCTTACAGAATTTAGTCATTTTACTCTTGATAAAACTCGAGTTAGTAGTTTCATAGATATTAAATTGGTTGATGTACACCAGTACAAGGTGGCAATATCTGTAAAATTTCCACAGATTTTTCTCTCTCACTTGATAAAAAAGGTGGGTAAAATAGGATGGAGTTTTATTTCTACCATGCACTCTAATTTAACCTAGTTCGGAAAAAACATCCAATTTTCCCCAAATAATATTTTCTATTGTCAACCATCTTTAGCACTTTGACTGAATTGAAACTGCAAGAAAAACTATGGAAAATAGTCGTGGGTTCTTAAGAAAGTGATAAGAAAGCAAAAAGAGTTGTCGCTTCGACCATTAGCTTTGACAATAGCTTTTTTAAAAATCAACTTTAATAAAACTATGTTGTGTATTACCGTTATTATTACTACTGTAGCCAGTTCTGTTTATAGTTCGTTCATTTATTATTATCACTAAGTAATTCCTTTGGAAGTTGAAAGGAATTGTTAATATATCGCGTCCAAGAAAATTATTTTAGAAAAGTCATTAAATATAGTCAACAATTATTTTTAAAAAATGCAGAAAGCTAGCTAATTTAAACAAGTAAATAATTATTGATGTTGTTTTATTGTTGGCGCTGAAAGAAAGAAAACCTGAAATTTAAACAAAGAAATCTGAAATAAAAAATGGATCGGTTTTGCCAGGAATATACTTACAGGAAGTTTTTCAAGCTTTAAAATGAGACAAGATTGCTATAATTTGTACAATTTGAGAATTCTCAAGAAACACACCTTTCACATACCATTGTTTAAGTTTTACATTTATTCCTGCTTGGCTAATAATCTATTATTATTGATACCTAATAATCTATCAAATACCTTTCGGCAATACTTTTTTCAATAATAAAATTTTCAGTAGATTACCACTATCATCATATCGGTAAATTTAAGAAGGAAATTACATACAATCAAAAAAGAGTGGTGAAATAACCCATTGGCTGTAATCCAATGATACTACTAGTTTGTTTGTTTAATTAAGATTTAAGTGGCACTGTCACTGTCATTGTGATAGGAGATCCCGCAGCCATTGTTTCTTGAGTCAGCGAGGAGGGTTTAAGGGAATTTGTCAGGATAAGAGTTTCTCGATTTGAAGATTGATGGGTTGGAAGGGTTTTTTTGGAACCTGCGGTAACGGGAGCGTATTGCATCTTGGGTAAAAGTAATATTTAGAACTTTATGGGTAGTTTCATTAGACATATGCAATAGACCATCAAGGATTCTTCTTATGATCGGTCAATTAGGAACATGAAGGTATAGGAAAGTTTACTGAACCATACACTTCCAGCCCATAAATTCACGAACGCGTTAAGAAGAAGCCTTTCATTTTTGAGAGGTATGTCAGAGAGTTTATTCAGAAGAAAAGAATGTTTTAGTTGAATGTGGGGACTCAACGTCACACATTTTTAGATGTACATTCCTAGGTATTGCACCTTGTCCGCAATTGGGAGGGACCTGTTTGTGGAAAGTGAAGAGACTGGGGGGTGCGTTAATAGTGTGTGGTGATGTTGAAGGTTTCGAGAGGAACCGATAGGATCAGGGAGGATGGAATAAGATGTTAGCTATCAATACCTTGCTAAAAACGTGGGGCACAACACTAAGGTGAGGAACGACACCTTGACTAGGATAATATGATGAGAGGAAATTGCCTTCAATTACTCGAAAAAATCAATGAATAAATCAATCGCAGTAAAGTTTGAGGTAATAGGTGGCGGGTAGGGTAGGATTCTTTTGAGCATGAACAGCAAGCCCGGGTGCCAGAGTTGATCAAATCTTGGCGTACGTCAATTAAGGTGTAATTGTACTGCCATAACTTAAGGGCGGCGGAGATAACGTCTACGACGCGATGACATTGTTCGATAGTGGAGTGGCCGATGGGAAAACCTAATTGATGGTCAAGGATTAAATTTTAAGAATTTAAGATTGGAAGAATTTTTTAAAAGTATAATGTTTCCTAAACGTTTTTCCAAAATGGGTAGTAGGTTCTTGTATTGGCCTATAAGAAGTATGTAGTACAATATGTTCGTTTTTTGGTTTAGGGAATATTCGAAGAATTTCAAAGCTATTGGGTAGAAAGTGAGAAGAGAAGACGGTGGTTATCGTCAATAAGACTTCGGACCTTGATTGTTTCAGTTGACTCGCACGTCTTTTCTCACCTTCTCTACGAATAATTGTTTACTCATTTGTCACGTCAATGCCCAGTCCATTCCTACTCATTATAATGAATTCCTTCTATACTTTACCTATAGCTTTTTTCACATAATTGCTGTTTCCGCGATTTGGATCAAACCTAGCGTTCCTTCTAACTCCATGTCCTTGCCTAACCATTCCCTCCTACGACATGATAGGCTGGCCAGAACCGGTAGAGGTGTGGACATATTTATTCACAACAGCCTTGAAAGTCGCATACTTGAAACATTCCCTAACTCGACTCACGCCTGGAATTTATTTTGGCCAAAATATTCATCAGTTCTTACGATAAACGTATGATTGTACGACAACCTTTTTTGAGTAACATTTCAACCCACTCATCACACAGCCTCCTCATCTACTTGGTTCGACTTATTGCATCCTTTCTCTCCTCCCACGATATGATCCAAATTACATATAATATTCCCACCCAACGACTCTAACCCAAAACCATAAGCTTCCGCCCTCTTGATTCCCTTTATTTTAAAGTTTTGAAGCTTCATGTGGAGGCGATCGAGTGAGCCCATATTTACCTAGGCTCATCTAGCGATTCCATGGTCGGCTTCCTAACACCCAATCTGCTGATTATCCTTGATAAACAAGCTTCGTTAAAATCCTACACTATCCGTCATTTCCCAGCCCCATGGTTAAATGTCGAAATTAGAGCTCTAACTAAAAGCCTTAAAGCGGGAATAAAGCGCTTTCATCGTACCCCACTTCCCGAAGACCACTCCTCCTTCCGTAAAATTCGCAATAAAACCCATTATCCGTTGAACCAAAGCCTGATACTACGCCTGATATGGAATCTCCTCAGGAACCTTGGCTTGTGTTACCTTACCAACTCATTCTCTTCCTTCTCTGTCTCCCAGGATGAACAAAACTCCCATTTTGTCTCCATCAAATACCAACACCGAACTCTTTAATTATTCCCACTGCACCCCCCATCTGACTTTTACTTCTCCTGTTTATCCCCTCCTGATATCCTTGAGGCAATTGCCAAATCCCAATCCTAGGCCATTGGAGCCGACGGCATCCCTAACAAATTCTTTAAAATCTGCCTCCTTGTTATCCTTTCTGTCGTGCTTCATATTTTGAACTACTCTCTACAGAACTCCGTTTTTCCTTCAACCTGGCAAGAAGCACTTGTCCATCCTATCAACGAAACTTCCTAACCTTCTTCCCCTATGGACTACCGTTCCATATGCATCTTATCCAATCTCTCCAATCCCCTGGAGAGGTTAGTCTAAGCCCATGTGTCCAGGCACCTACAACATTCCCTAATGGCCTTATTCTTCCCCAGCACAGAACCCATTCCTTCCTGAACCTCACCCACAAACTCTTTTACCATACCACATTCTTTCATCAAGCCACGTCTCTTAATTACTTCAAAACCCTCATATATAATTACCTCCTATCCCTTCAAACAGATTCGTTTTCACAATTTTTTTAAATAAAAAATATAATATTTTATTTTAATGTTTTAGTCTGTTTGTCAATTTATTTAATTTGTATGCATTAATTTTTCCAGCCAAGAAGTTATTCGTTTTTATGCTGTTTTCACTTTGTTCTATTTTGCACTTTATGATTAGCGGAACTTCCATCCAGTTAATCTAGTTAGCATTTCAAAGCTATAGGGAAGAAGTGTACGAAAAACATATTTGAAATGTAATGAATATGATGACTATTTGATTAGGGGTAGTAATTCGAAACAATAAGGTAACCTTGCAGCCTTTGTTGATTTGATATATTGAATAATAGAATAAACGTCAAAAGAAAAAGATATAGGCGGCAGGTATAATGGGATGGGGAATGTACATAAGTTGTAGAAATAATGACAGGATGTCGGAGTGTGGATGGAATGTTGTCAGGTTGAGTCAAAGTCATTCGCTTTCTTCTTGACGGCCGTCGATCTGTGGAAGAGGGATAGATATTTTGCAGTAAAACAGCTGTATTTTAGCTGCTGCCCAGAGCGCCGATAAATAATAAATAAATCAATACTATGATAACATTTCTCACCTATGACTACAATGTTTGTCGATCTGATCACTGTGTGAAAAGAAGGAGCATCGGCCGACACTTCACATTTGTACAGTCCGGACATTTCTTTCTGGACGTTGTTCAGCGTTACCACGGTAGCATTGGACTGAAAAATCTGTAAACAAAAATAACTATAAGAATATTTTAAAAACAATTGAAATATTGTTGTTATGATGTTCAATCATTTCAATGATATACAGGGATCGAAATTATTGCTCAACTTTTCAAAAACTTGGATTATTTAAGAAACCGTTTGTGATAAACCGATACTACATATTTATGTAATTAACATACATAGTATGAAGTGTTCAAGAGCAATCTACTTAGACATCCGTTTCCAATAACGCCAATAAAGAAGAATTTTTGTGAAGGATTAAAACTTAACTGGAAGAATAAGAACATTCTAATGAGAGAATATCTGTTACTCGAGGCTACTGAAAACGAAATGAACAGGATATTTTTATTTCAACAAAAGTTCCAGAAAAACCTGAATATCAAAAAAAGATCGTGAAGGAGGAGGGTACTATGATGCGGGGTTTGGTATTTCTTAAGCGCTACAGATTTTTGGCTTGTACTTTTCGTAGGGTCTTAGTTAATTTCAATTTGCTCGGTTCTTCCTTTTAGAAAGAGTAGGTCATTGATGGTCATTCCTGTGATTCTTTTTTCGGGTCTCATTGGTACCCTCAGCTATGTTTCCATTAATCACTTGCTTTGCATCCTTAGCAGCTTCATCTTCTTAATTTCATAATCTACAAATCGGGTCATCATTGAATATATTCATGTCGTGATATTTTCTCGGATACCATTGACCGGTATTTAGGAGAATTATTTCCCAGGTTTTTCCCTGTTTAATTTACAGGCTCCAAAAACGAATATTAAGAGCCCATGGGCATGTACGTCAGAATCTTTCTAGAAGAAATTCACCCAATTGAGAGATTCCATAGAGCATATAAAAACAAAGACATAGTTGTCAATTCAGACAGTCAGGCCGCCATTAAATCAAATATCATCAGGTCAAAAATGGTGCTGAAATGCAAAACCAATCTAAATTGATTAACTGCTAAAAAATTTAATTACTTTCAGCGAACTTTTCCACAACAGAAAGTGCTTTAGGAGTACATGTTACACGTAGAAGAAATACAACCAGTAAAACCAAATAATTAAATCCAAAAAATAAATAAATTACTCATTGGTGTACTATAAGAAGAGAACGAACTATGTACATTTCGTGGTTCTGTTTCTTTATCATTAACTTTTTTTACTCCTACACACTTTTCATTTTTGGCTCGTTATTTTAGATATAGTCCTAAAAAGTAAACAATAATATTGGTTTTTAATTCCGAGACTGTTTTTTGGGTAATCGGTAGGGGTTTTCCTTTTACGTTTTCTTTGTGTATCTTTTAGAAAGTGGGAATATTATTCCTGGCAAAGGAATAGATTAGGTGACAAGATTAAAAAACATAATTCCGTGGGTGTCGGGTTGTCAACTTTGATTAACACGTGAAACCAATCAAGGGTGAAGTTCTGAGCTTTCAAGGGGGGGGTTTGGAGCCAATGATCCGGTTGATTGTTTGGCTCGTTACTGATACCTTTGATTTAGATTTACCTTCGCCCCTTCGGCCGGCTGACATCAAAACGGTTCGGTTCAACTCAGGCATTAACCTTCTCATGCTTCTCTCACTCCAATTGAGGAGGGTTTTTTTTCCTACACCAATTTAAAGTATCCTTTTCCAAACAAAAATAGATGCTTTTTGTTTATTCAAGATATTGAGGAATACATTAAAAAAATAAATATGTTCGACGAAAGTTTTATTCAAATCGATTTATTTTGCTTACCTTCACTGTCCTTCTGCTATCATTAAACGTGCTTAACGTTTGATTTAGAAAAACAAGAGAACGCTTTGTACTAAAAGCGACCCCTTAAAAAACGATTTATTTAATTTTTTAACTTTATAAAAAAACTATTATGAACATAATATTACTAACGATACTCACAGTCAAAAAAACCGAACACTCATATTTTGTTGTTTATTTCTACTACTGAACGCGTTGAAATAAACAACAAAATACGAATGTCTGGTTTTTTATCTTTAAGAATGTAATGGCATTTCTGGCATCTAACTTAAGAAGCTCTTCCATGTAGTGTCGTGATGAATGGATTAAAAATACTAAGTATAAATATGTAAGAACTCACAGTAAATAAATTCCGCTAAGAACCAATCCTAACAACTATTCAAAGAACTATGTGCAATAATAAAAAAAGTGGGGGATGTAAGTATAAAGTCGTAGTAACGTGAACACCTTTCCCTTACTTACGTCAGTAAATACATGCTCAATAGACAGAATTTTCAAATTCTGATGCACTATAAAATTGAGAATCCAAAGTAATATTTAAATTGTGCTAGGGGGCCGCAACGTTTTAGCCTGTCAACACTAAGGGTAATGTCCCGGGTCAAAAACTTGAGTCGCTGAACAGTTTTTTGCCTAAAGATCAAAATGAAAGATTTATACACACAAATTCAACCATTTTTTGGCAGTAGTTCTATGTGTATCTCTTTGTTTTTTAATTTCTTGAAATTTAATTGTTTTTCATTTAGTTCAATTAGTTGGTTCTTATCTTCGAAGCAGCGAGAACGAAAACAAAAACGACGGTAGAGTTTTAGCTGACGGATATACACTGTAAAAGCCTATAGTAACAAATGACTAGAAAACAGAAACCAGGAGAATAATATCAATGTTGCATCTCTCTTCGAGATAACAGGACCAATGATAATATACCATCTAAGCAAAAGTCAGAATTGGCGTACAAAAATTGACTCGTTCAGAAAAATAACTACTGTAAAGTTTTTTGATCTTTAGGAACATTATTCTCAAGCATCATCCAAATAATGAATTAAAACAATTTTTATTACAATTCTAAAATGTAATCTATCTTTATTCATTTTTATATATATTTCTATTCTTGAGTAGAAATATTTGAAAAACTTTTTTCAAATCTCAAAAAAGAACTATTATTTAAGATGCTGCCAACAATCATTCCAAAATTTAATCTACATCGTTTTAAAAGCGGAAAAACATTCCGGACGTTATTCTTTTGTGTATGGCTCCAGGTGTTAAACAAATAATTACATCATCAGCATAAAAAAACCACAAATTCCTTTTTCAGTAATAATAGTTCTATTTTTACCGAATTGTTCTCCACTGTCTTTTATATGCAAAGAAAACAGCAGGGGACTTAAGATTTCACCTTGAAGAACGCACTTTATCACTGTTATTTCTTTAAAATTGCTGTTTTCTGTAAAACCTTAATATATGCCAAGTCGTATAATTTCGTGTGATCTTAAACATTTACCTCACATACCTAAACCAAACAATTTTATACAAGGTTTCTCATGAGAAATAGAATGGTCGACAAAAACCGAGAATATTTTCCTTCTTTCCATTCTACGATTTAAATTTACAATAAACTAGAGTGTGAAGATACAGGCATGAAGCCTGGACAGATTCTCCCCATTTGTTTCTCCAGTAAAAACCCCTTGGATTTTGCCTATCGTTTAAGCTTTGTGTAGAGAATAAAGGTTCAAATGTTTACTTAATATTATGCAAGCTTTTATTTATTAATTGATATAATTAAAGGAAAAATGTATTTACATCATCTGAAATTTTGTATTCTATTTTAACAAGCTTATAACTGGCACAAATGAACGAACTGAAGCAAGCGTTTTATTTTGAGTCTTCCGTTTATATTATTTCGTCGGGAATCGAAACATTGTCGGCTTTTCGATCTCGTTTCCGGTGATATTATGAATTTCTCAGGCCCTAGGGTGGATAAATCAGCCGTCGCTTTCTTTCTTGAGAACCCGGCCAATAGACCCACGAAACGCATTTCACGCTGTCTCGAACTCTAACAGCTTTCACTCAAACTCAAAAGTGATATGTTAACAATAACTAAAGGAAAAAAAAAATCATGCCACAACCTTGAAAGGCTTTACCAATGTGTATATTATTTATAATTCCCACGACGAAAAAATAATTATGTGCATTTTATAGAAGGCTATATATTGCTGTAAGGCTATGTATCGGTGTAGTTTAGTTTAAGTTTGTAACGTCGGCCTGTTAACTATTAAATTTAATTTAATTACATAACGTTCTCTATAATAAAATACATTTAATTTTGTATAATGATTTTTAACTTTTGTTTTTGTTGCTTGAAGATTTTGTTTGGAAAAAATCGCAACAACAGGGCATTTTGCATAATTTAAATTGAACTAACATAAATTAGCATAACTGAAGCTCTGTAAAATAACTGGAAACTTTATAGACAACTTCATACGAAGTACCATCAGAAACGAGGCCATTGAACCCGAGTAACCTCAAAACGACGGTCTGTTAAAAGTATAACTTAATCAAATTTATATAAAAAATATTTTACGTATGCGTATTTTACTGTATTTTGTAGTAATCATTTTTACGGGAAATAAAATTTTTGTTAACCATCAAACAATTTGATTGATAACTTATTTTCAATGAAAAAATTGGTACCAATCTATACTATTCGAAAGATTATTAAATGAAGCAGTTCGTTAGAAATTCGCTAATATGTAGGAAATTTGAAGAAAAGATAGTGAATTTTCGAAATTCTTTTAAAGATTTTCCAACAGTTTTAAAGGTTTGTTCCAATGCAACAGATATCAGGTAGACTAAAAGGTTTTTCCGTTAAAATTTCATTGTTTTATTTTTTTACAGCCAGATGTCTAATTACATTTCATTTTCTTAATCTTTTAAAACAGCAGTAGCTTCAATACGCTATCTATTAACTTCATGAAGCCGGCCAGTTTTTGGGATCATAGATAATGTGAGCCTTTTTTATTCAAATGAAACATCTAGTGAATTTGTAAAAGACATTGAAAAGTAGTTTTTTTCCGTTCTTTTTATTTCTAGTTCGAGGAATTAAAAGCCTCTTATTTTTCTTTATTTTCAATTTAATCTCCTTGTGCAAATCGTTCATATAATATCAATCCATGCACGATTCCTCCACTTTTTCAAGTCCAAATACAAAAATTTTTTAAATGATATTATTGTTTGGTAAAATTATTGAAAGACAAAACAGAAGTA